TGCAGCGTCGCCGGCCGCAGGCCAAGGAGCTCGGCTCCTCGAGAGCACCGACGGACGACGATCGGCTCCTCAGCAGTGGGACGCCGAGCTGGAGGCTCGGCCCGGAGCTCGCGCGGGCACGTGGAGCTTTCCGCTCGGGCCAGCAGGAAACGGGCGCCCCGCACAGCGACGCCCGCCGTAGAGTGCCGAGAGCTCGGCTCGACGCGAGCGCCGAGGAAAAGCGATCGGCTCCGCAGCAGTGGGACGCCGAGCTGGAGGCTCGGGCGGGAGCTCGCGCGAGCACATAGCGAGGTGCGTGCGCGGCGGCGTGACACAGGTGAGCGGGCAGCTGGCGCACATTTCGACTGTGGGAGCTGCCAGGAGTTTGCTCTCTCCGTTCACACCCCTTTGCAGAAAATCCACAAAAATATCTTCCTTCGGGGACACAGGATTCCAGAAATGGTTGTGTACACAGGATTCCAGAAATGGTTGTGTCCCCGCTCCTCGCTCGCCCGGGCGGAGGGCATGGCCGCGGAGGAGGCGAGTACGCGCTGCCAGGCCTTCCGCAGACAGCCTCTTGGCCAGACTGAGGGTCGGCTTTGTGTGGCGTGGCCCGTGCGCTGCGCTGCACAAGGCTGCGTAAACTGCGGGAGCATCCTGTGCTTCCTTTGAGAAGTGCGCACCTCCTGCAGCTGGTGGAAGGCCGTGCCGCCGCTCGTCTGCTCCGTGGACAGGGCGGGGAGGCGGTGCCGCAGCGCCGCAGCGTCCGCTGCACGCCGGTGCAGCACTCTGCTGCCTGGTGGGCAGCATGCTGGTGCTGTGCGCGACGTTTTCGAGGCTGCAGTGGCGCTGCACCGCGAGCCACGGCGAGTGGCACGCAGCATGCGCGGCGCCGCGCTTGGCCCGGACAGCGCCAGAGAGTGCCCTCGATGGGCCAGCCTGCGCGGCGCGAGCGCCGCACAAGCTGACGCATCGTCTGCCATTCTCTGGTCGACGGCGGTCAATCTCACGATTGTCGATCAAAACCGGCGGGCTTTGTGACGCCGTTTACGCAATCGTTTTTTGGCCTCGCTTTCTCTTTTGCTTGGTTTTATTTTGTTTTTTCTTTTGCGAAGCGACGGAGGGGGGGGGCGGGCGGGCGCTAACTATGGGCAACTACATGTCGAAGGTTCGAGGTCGACTACTCGCCGCCTGGGTCGTTTGGGGCGCGCGGCTCCGTCGAGGACCGGGCGCGCCCCTCTCCCGGCGCGGCGTAGGTCCCACTCTGACGTATAGAGGGGAGGCACGGACAACGGCCCAATTCATCAATTCCACTCATCTTCTGGTGCCTAGCCCCGTGCAGCGGCGGTCCGGCAGGCTGCCCCCAAGGCCCCCTGGGCCGCTGCGGGTTTTGGAGTTATGCTTTGGCACAGCTTCGGCGATGGCGGCCCCTCTCTGGGGCTTGCATAGGCGGGGAGTCTCCCTCGCTGGTCTCCTCATTCCCTTTTTCTTTTTCTTTTGAGCTGGGTGTGCCGCCGCGCGGCGCTCGCGCGGCGGCGGTGTGTGTGGGGGGGGGGGGGGGGGGGGGGGTCCGGGGCCCCCAAAAAAAAAGTTCCTAAAATTTTTTCGTTTCCCCCGGGGGGGAACCAAGAAGGGGGATGGGCGGTCGGCGTCGAGTAGAGCAGCAGGCGCGTACGGGGTAGCCGTCACTTTCCTGCCTCACAAGGGCGGGGCTGTCCCGGAAAGTGAGAGACGCCGGGCAGCGTGGCGCATCATTGAACCCTCCCATACGTGCTCGTACTCCTCCTACGCTGTCCCATCTCCTCATCTCTTTCCCACCTAGGCGGGGCGGGGGTCGGGGGGGCGGCGGGTGCGGGTGCGAGGTGCGGTGCGGTGCGTGCAATCGTGTGTTTGGCGTCATGTCGTGTGTGCCTTCGCTTGTTCCTATTAACAACGAAGTCTAGCTCAAAAAATCCCCGCTGTGTGCACCCTCCTAGGGGTCAGGGCTCTCTAGCCCGTAGCCCGATCCCGATCATCCGGCCCGCTCTTTCTTTTTTTCAAAAAAAGAAACGACGCAACCGGCAAGAGGAAACATACATACGTCCAGCTAAAGTTCACTTATTGTGCCGCGTCCTGTGCCCCCGAGTTCATTTTATTTTAGATTAACATGGCGCCGCAGGATCCCCGGGCCGTCCGCGAAAGAAAGGGTGAGTCGAAATGTATGTAGTAAGGTGAAGAACAGTCAGGCTCGGACTGGACACCAACGCGGTATGGGTGGACGCAAGACAGATGATGACGACACGCACGAGCGACACACAGACACAAACAAGCTCACAAGACACAGTCGAAAGCGTCACCCCTGCGGGTACCCTTCCACGAGAGCGTGTCAACGCCGAGGGAGACGCCGGAGGTTCCCAGCGATGGTCGCCAAGACGCCGCTCCTCTCTCTAGTTGTGCGGTGTGGTGCGATTGTCACCTCGCGCCGACTGACTGCGCGGGCCGTCGACGCGCCAAGGATCTCGGCGGGCTCCGAGCACACCTGCGGCATCAGGGAGGACAACTCGCTCGTAGAGTGCTGGGGCTACAACGGCCTCGGCCAGACCACTGTCTCGCCAAACGTGCCGTACACGCACATCTCGGCGGGCGAGTACCACACCTGTGGCATCAGGGAGGACAACTCGCTCGTAGAGTGCTGGGGCTACGACCTCGGGACCACTGTCTCGCCAAACGTGCCGTACACGCACATCTCGGCGGGCGGCTACCACACCTGCGGCATCAGGGAGGACAACTCGCTCGTAGAGTGCTGGGGAAGCAACGGCTTCGGCCAGAGCACCGTCTCACCAAACGTGCCGTACACGCAGATCTCGGCGAGCATGGGCCACGCCTGCGGCATCCGGGCGGACACCTCGCTCGCAGAGTGCTGGGGTTGGAACGAGTACGGCCAGACCACGGTCTCGCCAATCGTGCCGTACACGCAGATCTCGGCGGGCGAGTACCACACCTGCGGCATCCGGGCTGACACCTCGCTCGCAGAGTGCTGGGGTTGGAACGAGTACGGCCAGAGCACCGTCTCGTCGAACGTGCCGTACACGCAGATCTCGGCGGGCTACCACCATACCTGCGGCATCCGGGAGGACACCTCGCTCGCAGAGTGCTGGGGTTCCAACAACGACGGGAATGGCAACTACATCGGCCAGAGCACCGTCTCGCCAAACGTACCCTACTCGCAGATCTCGGCGAGCATGGGCCACACCTGCGCCATCCGGGCGGACAACTCGCTCGCAGAGTGCTGGGGCTGGAACAACTACGGCCAGAGCACCGCTCCAGCGCCACCTCCTTCTCCTACCCCATCGATTCTGATCATTGTGCTTGTCGCAGCCGCGTTGGTTGTGCTCGTTGCTCTCGGACTGGCCTGTCTCTTCTACTTCAAGGTGATCCGCAAGCAGGCAACTGAGCCTCCGGTCAAGACGCCTTCAACCGTGACGCAGGCGGTCTAAGCTCGCGCCCCAAGTACGCGTCCTATCCCCTACCCCGCTGCACCGCACACATCAGCACACCCCCAGTCCCCACAGGGGAGCCCCCTCTAACTAAGCGCGACTCTCCGTTAACAGAACGGTAATGCCCTCTCCGTGCTCCGTCGTAGCACACCACGGCACTCAGCATAAAGAACCGCACTCACCCGGATATGCGACGGTGGCATAAGGTGACTGATACACCGTTGCAGTCTGTCCTGTGTGCTGTGAAATCGTGCGTGTGCGACAGCCTTCGCTTGTGAAATTCTTTTTCTTTTTATGTTGTGAGTGTATATGATCTGGAGCTGACCACACACCCCTGCGCGGTCCGGTGACCCTCTAGAGTGTCCGACTGAGTGTGAATGCCGCTGAGACTGGTGAG